AAACTTTGGTGAGCCACTTACAATGACCTGTGACCAAATTGCAAAGTACATTATAAGGTACCCCTAAACCCACCTCTAGCTAGTCGAGGGGGCTGCGGGGTCTCGAGGTATGGTGTCCGCCTTGAGTGCTAGAGGTCCTGGGTTTAATCCCCAGTAAGGGGCTTTGATTGTTTTCACGTGGACTTGAACTTCTAGTAATTCCCCCGGTCTCTGGGTAAGGAGATCGAACGCTGGTGTGCATTGTTGCGCAAACAACAAATTACTTGGCAGTTGGAAATCAAAAAAAATGTAGCCTAACGGCGCTGGCCGGACACAATTTGGAGTACAAAATCTACCAAAAGTAGCTGAGCTTCTATGGAGTTATACTTGAGTTAAAAGAAGTTAGCACTTATGGGTTATTACCCCGTGTACCATGATGTTGAACAGTTGTACAAACATCAAACTTCATTTAGCTAATTGACATACCGACTTGACTCTGCCTCTTTCTCTCTCACTCTCTCTCTCTCTCTCTCTCTCTCTCTCTCTCTCTCTCTCTCTTTCTCTCTCTCTCTCTCTCTCTCTTTCTTTCTCGCTCTCTTTGAACATCCACAACTTACATTGTAACATTATACCAACCAAAGAACTCGCTTTTCCTTTGTGTGTGTTATAAAAAGTAACAGAACCATTTGTCCTGGGACTCTAGCTATTCGACCCATAAAATAGCCCTTCAGTGCGTACCCGCCTCTAACAGTTTGCTGTTTCACGGAAACTCTTTGCCATAATTTTTCATTTTTTTACTTTATTTAAATTCATACCACCATATTGAATAGATTGTTGGATGACACCTACAACCTTTATGTAAATAACCCACAAAACAACTTAACTCCCCTCCTCTATCACCGACACCTAACTCATCGACATGACACCCACCTCTTTGCTGTAATTTTGTTGGGAAGTCAAAGCACCATATACAGTGACCACAAATGACCCTAACAACCCTCACATAAACAGCCTTTTGTCATAATTTTTGTTTCGTTATGTAAAGTCAAAAGAGGGTGCTAAAATGTTACATAGAACCTGTTCTGCTGTATGGCAGCGAATCTTGGAATGTCACCGAACAAATAAGGAAGAATTTGGAAGCAAAAGAGATGTGGTTTCTGAGACGAATGTTGCGAATACATTGGACGGCCTGAGTAACTAACAACGACTGCTTAAAAGAGGCTAATGAAAGTAGATCTTTTTTTACAACAATAAGAAAGAGACAAACTCTGTTCTTGGCCACATAATGAGAAGCGAGACATTAGAGAACATCGTGACAACCGGAAAGATCAGTGGAAAAAGGAGTAGAAGCAGACAAAGAGAGGTGATGCTGGATGGGCTAAAACGATGGCATGGAGGGACATCATCAAGAGAGCTGCTCCAGTCAACCAGGGATCGTGATCAGTGGAGAAGCATGAGCGCCTACACCAGTTGGCATGGCACATGATGATGATGATGTTAAGTCAAATCACCATATGTAGTGAGCCCTAAAACTCCTCATATAACAAGCTGACACGACAACCTAAGCCTTTAGTGAGCTACAAGCACATAACATTATATAGGACACCCGACCATTTTGACATAAGTTTTAATTTACTACAATTTTAACATCCCTTAGCGGCCGGCTCCTATCAGTTGTGACTAGAAACCTGCCATTTTGTTACACGTTTTCTTTTTTCCTCTATATAAAGTCATAGGACTATAAAACTGTGACGCTCAAGGATCCATAAAACCCCTCATGTAAACTACATGACACAGCCTTTTGACATCCTTAGAGAGAAGACGGCACCTAACATCACGACACGACATCCGCTGTTTTGTTATTATTTTGTCTCTATATATAAGTCCTAGCACCCTATGCAACGAGCCCTCAATGACACCTGAACCCCTCATATAAACTAGATGATAAGACAACTTTACTCCTTCACTGCACCGCCAGCATCTTACATAACACATGACATCCGTTTTTTAAATCATAGCACCATCTGATACGACATCTAATGACCCCTAAACCCTCTCATGCAAGTAGCTGGCATGACAACCTGACCACTCACAGAGCCGACTGTAGTTAATATCAATGTACGACACCCGATTCTTTGCCGTAATTTTTTTTTCATTGTTTCCCATGTGTGCATCATAGCACCAGATGCGTCGGACAGTTATTCCCAAACTATGCGCCGCAGAGCCCCGGGGAGCCGCCTCGTCTTTACAGGGGCGCCTCGAAATTATGTAAATCTTTATAATTAATTTAAACCAAGATACGAACAACCATACTTTTACTCAAGTTAGAGCGCATTGGAAACATTTTAACTGACAAAAGGTGCTGCGACCAAGAAAACTTTGGGAAACACTGGCCTAGGAGATACTGATGATCCCTGAAACCCCTACGACATGTCTGTGAATTACCGCCTGTAACTGCCTAGTTATATACCGCCATAATCATAGCTCCCCAGCTAACAACAAACACCCCCTCAGAGGCTTGAAAGACACGATCACCCCACACGTCGGCATGGAACTTAATGAGGCTGATGATAATGTTATTTGACCACAAATCGCAATGGAGCCCCTGCTGACACACCCCCCTGTATTCACTTCTACATATTTTTCTAAATAAGATACATATTTACTATCCCATCAACAACGCTAATCACAATCCCTATATTCTACAATATAACGTAAATAATGCTAGTGTTAGATCGCTCTATTTTATATTTATATATTTCTACTATATAACGTGTCTGTGACTTGAGCGTTGCGATTTCGCTTCATAGTGCCTGGGTGCCAGGTTTGATCCCAACTGGGGACGATCTGTCTTGCTTTTGCTTCGACAGTGGTTCCAAAACTTGACTGTTTAGAAAGCAATAACAAACTATGGAACGTAAAATGTGCCTTAAACAGCCACACAAAAAATGCTGGGGTTGGCTCTTTAACGTCCTGTAAAGGATACCCAATTATATAACTATACAACATGTTTACGTTTTTAATCACCCTCAACGAAGACAATCAATACCCCTAGTTTTCATTTGTATACCCCTAAAAAGCCCCTGCCCGATCCAAATAACCCTCTGCTACGCCCACCCTACCACACAAAGACACATATCCATAGTCGAAACTTACCTGACTCTTGACCCAAAATCACGCAACCCGAGTTGACAGGTGACCTAGATGTCTGATCTAAATAAAAATCTACGTCACTTCAACTCTTGACCTGAGACACATGATTTGCCCGTACATCAAGTGGGCTAAGTTTGTCCGCGACAACCAAAAAGCAATAATTTGATCACCGCTATAAAACAAAGAGGTATTTTGTTTGCCCGCTTTCGCGCTCAATCACACTAAATAACTCTAGTATGCTCGGCTGGATCTGAAGACAGTGGATGGAGTCTCTAAAGTAGTCAGGGCTGACACATATCAGTTTCATATTTTTGCCAGGGCTCGCAGGCGTTCAGGGAAATGAGCAAGCTGATTGGCTTGCAGTTAAAGCTACTATGGCAGGGCGGGGTAGTCATAGACCATGCTGATATTCTGAATGCTCTACGAGAAGTAAGAAGAAGTAAGACGTCTGCGAGAATTAAGTGATGACTGTGAATCTGCAACCATGTCCAGACTGCAAGAACACATTATTAAAAGGTGTGAAACAAGTTGAGAGCACTATTCAGGAAGCCAAAGAAGAATAAGAAACCAACACAGAACTGGCGTTGTGAGCTGCTACACGGTGCAGGATTTACTAACGAAGGGATCTGAGCACTTACGGACTGAATAGTTTGATGTGCAATGAAGATAATCTGTCGACTAACTAGGTAACGTACAGAGACACATAGCCATAACGATTATGGTTAACACAGAAGCAGGAATCAGCACGGAAAAACGTTTGCTTCACTAAACCTACGGGACAGGGTCTACCACGGTTTTTCTCCTAATTCCATCGATCGGGGGCATTCGTATCCAGTTGAATTCCATGTCGAAGTCAAAGCCACACATGGCCAGATCCTTATTATTCCAAGGTAAGTACTGAAATAAAACAAAAAAATAAAAAAAATAAAATGACATGTCATTTCAACATTTTAAATTATAGATCTCTAGTTTTAAAAAAAAAAATTACTTTACTTCATCCAGTCAACCTACACGTTTCACTCAAAACGTGAGTTGTCACTCCCTGACGCAAACATAATGTTGTACACTTATCCACAATGTCCGCCTTAGAACCCCAAGTACCTCTTAGAAATCGGACACTTCCTCTTCTTCTTCACGTGCATTGGATGTCAACTTTGGGCGTAAAGTTTTGGCTTTTCGTTCACTTCTTGACTTTAATATTTTTCGAGAACTTGGGTTTCGGATGAGCATTTGTTTTAAACATGTGACACATTTAGATACATGCTGTTAATTGTTTGCCTTCAAGGCAGATACACTTCGATTACGAAGATCACACTAATTCGTTGATTCTTACTGCAGACAGTGGGTCTTCCTTCCCCCTCCCTCCTCCCACTCCCCCAGCCCACCCCCCCCCCCACCCCCCCCACCCCCCGGCATCCACAATATGGCCACTAAACCTACATGGGAAATCATGAATTGCATTGATCACATCCACACATAAGGAGACCAAAATGGGAAAGGCAAAATCCATTTCAAAGTGGCTAATCTTGACAGGGGCAAACCTTGGAAAATATCGATGGATGGTTTAAGACAGCGGCATGGAGGAGTATCATTAGTATAATTGATACAGAACATTAAAGATCGAGATATGTGGCGACGCATGAACGGCTACACCAGCGGGCAAGGCCCTTGATGATGATGAATGGTGACATGAAAAGTGCAGTCTTCCTACATAAAAAAACTCGTCCAATTACAAAGTCGAGTCAACAGCGCCAGAGGAAGCAGTATCTATATTACTCAGTGAACGCAGGTTTGAGTCAGATGTGGTTATACTGACATACAATAGCTCAGAACTGGAGGTAATACAAAACGATAAACAAATGCACTTCAAACCACTTTGATCTCGGCTTAATCAGATGGGGCAGATAACTGAGCAGACTGTACTATTTGATCTCAGGTCACACTAACATGGTTAGGTTAGTTGCGTATCCTTTACAGGACGTTGCAGAACCAACCCCAACAGCCCCTGGCTCTAATCTAACACGACAGGAAATAAAATACAAGATTACTTGCAACATTAACAACAACAAAATATCGAAGTGCAGTGGCACCTCAGCATACGTTCGTTTTGGTTTACGTTCTGTTTGGACAAGAACGATAGCGAGCATGCTCTGAGGTTTTGAGGGAGGACTTCTTAGAAGATTGCTGGGGTTTACATGGGGAGATAATATCAGCAATTCTAGATTACAACAAATGACAGACTAAGAATATATATATTTAGAAATTAAAAGAAAAACAAAACGAAGATGGAGGTGCATTGGACACGTCCTCATATAAATAAAAAGAGACGTGCGAGACAGGCCTTGCAATAGACACCACAAGAATAGCGGAGAAGAGGCAGGCCATGAGGTACTTTAAGGCGAAGCTTTGAGGCTGAACTCCAGGCTATGCGAAAGGGCAGAACTAGAGATAGAGAGGATGACTTGGGATCGAATTAAGTGGCGACAGCTTGTCTCTGCCTTATGCGCCTCTGGTTGCGATGCGGATTGATTGAAACGTACTGTGTGCAACAAGTCCAATAATCAGGAACGGATTAAACACGTTCACTGATGTATACTACATGTATGTATATTACATAGTAGCCAGACAGAGGATGCACTTATGAGAAATTGGCAGTGGAAGATGAAAACCAACCTTGTTGGGTCTAACGCAGTTTTGGGGGAAAGAGTACCACTTTTATTAGCGGACACCTTTCGGGTGTTATCTGATGTTGGTAATAGTATCGCATTATAGGGTACCCACTTAACCTCGCAATGGGAGCGATTGCTAAAGCTGAGATGAAATGCCGGGGGGGGGGGGGACGGGGGGCAGGTAATTCAAGGAGAGACTAATATATTACATATCCATAGAAACTAAACGTAAAACACAAAGGGCTGGGGAATTGGCTAAGGAAAGAGAGTCTTTTAGACATGCCGTAAGGTGAGCTATGCTTAGTAAAGGAAATGCTGAAGGATGTTGTTGATGATAAATTTAAAACATACATCACGGCAGCTTTCAGCACCTGATGGAAACCTTTTTATCCAGAAAAAAATTGTAACAACCTAATCTAATTCCTCATTCAAAATCAAAAGACTATTGTGTTTAGGACTAAGAGCTGGACAGGGGGGATTCCGCCGCGATACGTACAGAAATTAGATCCTGGACATACAGAATTGTGCCCATGTGGACAGACACCACAGAATATAGAATATCTGCTTCAAAAAAATGCTCCCAATATGATGTGGAGAGGGACCAGTTTTGGACAGTTGGCATTCAGTTGAAAGTCAAGCTGCTTCGATAAGCTGAGAATATGTATCCCAACACAAGCTTTATACAGGCACGTGACCTTCTCATCTGCCATCCACAGGCAGAGATTACAACAGTAAAGAATAAATAAAACAACATATACCAATAATGTTTATTCTCAGACTCTTATAGACCAAGAAGGAAACAAAAACTGACATCTTTACACGTCCGTTCACAAAGGAAGATCGGCATGTAAACGGCACCTTGAAATAAATGTCTTGCAATATGTAGAGCTGTAAAGAGCTTTTTACTGAGGAAGATAATATGGGCTAACCAGTACAAAAATGCATTCGGTACACTAAGCGGGGCAGCTGTTATACAGGCAGATCCCACTTACAGGCATAAGTCAAAAATATATGGGGGTGACTGCAAAAAAGCTAACACAAGGAATTCCATAGAAATTTGACTAAAAAGCTCAACAAAATGGGAAGCAGAAAAACGGGCACAAAACAACACAAGGTAACGTTTCGACCGGGCGGAATTTTTCAAACATAAGTGAACTACACAAACGTAACAACGAGGAGATGAGAGTATGTAAATCTCTTAGGGGTGACGTGAGCAACGTTTAAAAAAATGTGGTGTGGAATAAATGAATTAAAATAAAACAAACGATAGCTAAAAAATAGTCACACAAAAAAATAATCCATATATATATATATATATATATATATATATATATATATATATATATATATATATATATATATATATATATATATATATATATATATTACGCGCGGGTTTTTGTATGCACTTTACAACTCATGCTTTTGTGTTCTTTTATAATATTCATAATATGCATATCATCATATGATCATAACATGCTTTATTTGTGAACCTGTGAAAATAAAGTTCGTTCGTTCGTACACAGAACTCAAACATATCTGTGTGCATATATGTATATGTATGTGTGTGTGTATATATATATTTATATATATATATATATATATATATATATATATATATATATATATATATATATTTATTTATTTATTTATGCATACGTATATTGTAGGAAACTGTCAGACCCTATGGACAACAGAGTGGTGCCATTATTTTAGGGAATAGCGCCTGCCATGAAAATTAAAATTAAATACGTTAATGGCAGACGTCTCCTCTTTATAGTTTGCTGCGTGTGGGTTCTTACCACCTACGATAGCAAATACATATATATATATGAAACGATTAACAACAACAAGGATATCTTGCCTGACGTTATCATCAATGTGATTTGGTTCTTAACCACCATACTGCCCCGAAAAGCTGAATTATGTTGACTATTTCAGTGCCATGTTGGGCAAAGGTTGACCTCCGTTAATGTGGATGCAGGACATTATATATGCATTATTTATGACAGCACACAGGGGTGCAGAATGTGCCAGAGAGATACTTTAAGGATTGCCATGAAGAGAGCGATGCTCTTACACATTTGCTGAATGAAAGATATATATATATATATTCATATATATTGTGCTAATGCAGATTCTTTTGTACTGTTTGAGCCTACATTCACAAAACGTTTAGAAGGAACATACGAACCTGAAACGTTTCGCCTCTGATGGTATCATGCTGTGGAATAGCTATGACTGAGTCATCCTGTTTGATTCTGTGCAATAAAGGTTCCAGCCAGCCTTGCGGGATGCAAAACACACATACACGTGTAACGTGTATATATATATATATATTCATATATATATATATATATATATATATATATATATATATATATATTTATATATATATATATATATATATATATAGAGAGAGAGAGAGAGAGAGAGAAATAGTATATATAAATAGAAAGGGAGAAAAAGTGATGAGGTGGGGGGGGGGGGCGCTGTGGTGCAGTGGCTAGACACTGATCTGCTAATCAGAAAATCGTGGATTCGTGTTCTGATACAGCTGGGCTCTTTTATAATGACCTTGGCACCCAGGTCGATCCAGCCTTGAGTCGTTACCAGGTACAGTCTTGGGAAGTAAAGGCAGTCGGCGTGATGCTAAGCATATCACCCATCAAGGGCCATTTGGTCTTTGAAATTTAGATCTAACTCTGTATACCCAATACGCCTGAAAAAACGGCTTAGTAGTGTGGCTAGCCGCCTGGTGCAAAAATCACACAATTCACAATCTCTGTAGCTACACAGACGATCCACAGGGCAATGATAGTGGGTGAAATACAGATATGATAAGTTAACTAGCAGCGCGCGCGCACACACACACACACACACACACACATATATATATATATATATATATACATGTGATGCGAGCACAGTCTCAAATCTTAAAATTGTGTTACCAATGGCAGCGCAGTCTGCTGCCTCCAGCTGGCAGTCTTAGTTTCTTTCTTGTGAGGTTATTGAATGGGTTTACATAACAATTGTGTGGATCAGAAGTGTTCTAGTGGGAGTTAACAGTTGCATAGACGTGGATTTTACCATGTAGGGATTAAACTTTAATTAACCATACAGTAACCAACCATCCTATTTTCATTCAGGCTCTTGTAAGCAGGCAAGTTATCATGTCAGGCTAGCCTGTCAAGT